TTTTTTTTTTTTTTTTTTCTTTTTTGGCTTTTTTTGTTCAATTCACTGCAGGTTTTATTTTCAGATATTCATACGAATTGTAGATGTAAATGATATTTCTTATGGCATTTCTTTGTGGGACAATAAATATGTTTTGAAAAATAAAAATAAAAAAAGAGTCAACATGTTCTATACTAAAATGTTTGGTAAATAAGTTCATGACTCATATTATAACATCTGTTGAAACAAACGTCAAATTTTAAGCATGTTTGGCAAACGAACCTTTGCTTATGAGTCCACAAAACTAGATTGAAATAAGTTTCAGTGCCTAAACATTTTAAATTACCAATACGTGTGAGACTCATAACTTATAAAACACGGACTTCTTTATCAAACAAGCCCCATATCAACAAGGTGCAAAGCAATGGCCTCTTTATTTAGGTTTGAGAAAAATTAAAGGTTTTGACCAAGTCAATTGTGAAAACATGTGTTTGAATTGTGTTTATATCTATAGAGGAATGAGTGTAAAGTTTTGGGTGGTGTTGATGCCAAATTTTGATGCTTGATTTCATATAATGATATTTATCATTGTGATGATGAAATATCGATGATAAGACTATTTAGGTGGAATAATGAGATTGAATAATTCAATTTTTATGAGAGAGAAATGTGAGAGATAATAGATTGTCACATCACTAATGTTCAAAATCATGATGATAAATAGCATTACTCATTTGTAACAACATTGTGCGAGATATGAGGGAACCACCATCATATTGGGGTGTTTTATCTCTTGCTTCTTTGGATTTAAGTTGGTTAGTGAGGATGATCACAAGAGAGCAATGGCGGTTCTTTTTGCCTAATGGTCAAGTAAGCCTTTGATATATTTTTTTATTGAAAATGTACTATTTTATATAGAAAAAAGAATGAAATTCATGTGGTTCATGTTGAAAATAAATTTTATTTTTCTCCCTTTTGATCGATGACTTTTGGGGTAGGATGACTTTTAGATCATCTCCAATGTTTTGATGGACTCCTAAACAATTTGTCACGTAACGAAATAGTCATTTTTTTTTTAAAATTCCATGTCCTATACGATGTGACATGGTCTGACTAATAGTTATGGAGAAATTATTGAAAATACCCAAAATTGAAGCCTACCCTTTCTAAAATACCTTTTGACCATTAAATCAACATAAACTACTTAAAATACCCCCAAAATCAAAAATT